GAGCTTGAATTTTTTTTTTTTTTTTTTTTTTTTTTTTTTACACCTGTGGCCATGGCGGTGATTAGAACACCTGAATCCAATGTTTTGGAGGGGTGTCCCAATACTTTTGGCAATATAGTGTATGATATTTTTAGTAGAGGATGAATAAAAAGTATACAAAATATTGATAGCCTCCTGATCTCCTAGGTCAGCAGTTTACCCTCTGTACACTGACCACAGTGGGTCTCGCTCAGCACTGCAGTCAGACACGGAACACCTTTTAATACATACAAGGTGTTCCTTGATTGAACGAGGTGGAGAGGAGAGGCAACATAATATACCATTTTCTGATTGGAGGAGGTGTAGAACTAAAGGCAAAACATTTTTTTTTTTTTTTTGGATAGAAGGGAGAGGGATTAGAACCCCTGCCAGTTATTGCTGTCAGTGTCCCCATTAGGGAGATTCACCCTCTCCATTTGTCCTGTTTACCATTATCATTGAAAATAAAAGAAAATCCCAACTTTCAGGTTGTCCCTAGAAAAGTAATAGAGGGGAAATCTTTTAATGGGGACACTAGTGAGCTGGGGGTCCTGAAAGATTTCTCTTCATTTGCAGGAATTTCCTCTCACTTCCTGTTTGGCTATAGGACAGGAAGCAAAGAGAAATCTCTGCAAGGAGACACAGATAGCGGAAAAAAAAAAAAAAAAAAAGGGTTATATAACCCTCCTTTGCTTTATCCAAAACGAAAAAAAAAAGTTTTGCTTTAACTGAAAGAAGAAAAAAAAAAAAAAAAAAATAGAAGGCATTCTATAGTTGGCCGCAGTGGTAGGTGAGCAACCTTCTGTGTTTATCATGCCAAGGGGAAGCTGCTCGCACAGGACCTGGCCATGAGTGGTTTAGTGCCGACTACTACAGTTATTTTCAGCTTTCCCTATTGGCTCCTCAGGTATATGGCCAAGTTTGTAGGTATAATGTAGGTATGCACAAAGTATGCATGCGTTAAAGATCCTACCTAGAATTCAGCTTTAGACTGGTATTACAGCTTAAATGGGTAATACATTGGCGAAGCCAACATACAAGACAGATACAGCTGAAAAGTAAAAGGATCCTTTAAAGCATGTGAACAGTAAGGTAAAAAAAAAAAAAACCCCAAAAACTTTTGATTGCCAACAGTTACATCTAAGGTGATGTACATGAACTCATCACTGGCCGCACGCAAATATGCGTACCCAAAACAAACAGAACTGTGCCGAGAACATGCACTGTACGCAATACCGACAGTTACCGGCAGATAATGGAAAGCTCCCAATCTACTTTTCATCAGGTGCTATGTGACCACGGTGACAGCCAATCATGGCAGTCACATGATCACAAACCCTGCCCCGCCTCCCAGCATCTAAAACCCCTTAATGGGCTGCAAATGGGTTAAAGAGTTTTTCATCTCGGGCAGGCTAGGGAGAACTGTCATGACTGACCAGAGCGCCATCACGCAGGAGAGGGTCACATGCTCCCCCATAAAAACCAAGTATTGTGCCAGATGAGGCACTGGAAGAGTCGAAGACTGGGTCAGGGGGAACCCTTTAGACAGATAGAGGTTAATTTACTAGATTTGGAGTGTGCAAAATCAAACTCACTTCTGCATAGAAACCAATCAGCTTCTAACCTCAGCTTGTTCAGTTAAGCTTTGGCAATAAAACCTGGAAGCTGATTGGTTTCTATGCAGAAGTGAGTCTGATTATGCACTCTCCAGCTGAAGTAAATAAACACCATACTGTCACATTGTCCTGAACTGCTAACTACACTATGCTCATGAATGGCCATGGAAGAATTCTTGCAGTGCTGGCTTACCTTTCCTCCAATGACAGTTTTTTTTTCTAAAACTGTGTCCTACAAATCATGTCTTCTATATCTACAATTATCTTCTGTGCAAATCTGATTCATTTTGTTAAATAAACCTGTGCTTAAAATAAATACAGCAAAATCACCCCAATATACAATAACCTAAATCACAGACAAAGATACAATTAAAATAACAAAAATGCAATTTAAGACAGCAGTGTATTCTTTTTGATTTCATCTGAACAACTCATTGGCTATGGGATTAAAAAGATAGCACTTTTTTTGGCAGTGTAATTGGAAATCAGTGTGTCATCCGATTTAATAAAACTTCTATAGATTTACAGCAGTATTAAACCCAAAAGCAAAAATACAATATATTGCAGCTCATCAGTCATTAGATGTGGTACCAGGCTGCAATTTTCTTTTTTTCCCCCAGTGACCTAGCCAGTAGCACACCTGGAGTACCTCCACTATGAATGAATGAACACAGGGGGCATCTTTGGACAGTAGCATTGGCAGCCTGGGGGAGGGGAGTGCTATGTACTAGCAGATTTAGATACACTAACAAATTTAAACTGAACTCCAGATAACACTTTATATACAATTAAAGCAATAGTTTTTTTCATTTTTGGGATAAAGGTTCTACATACAGTAAATAAACGGTGATCATTGTAAGCACCTCTGTTGGCATTAAATGGCTTGTCACATGTCTAAACAATGCATTCTGCTGGGGATCTTGTTCTTTTGGGAAAAAAAAAAAACAAAAAAAAACAACACACAACAGATTTACAGGCCAGCTCACCAGGTGAAACACTAAAATAAAGCCTAAAAAAGAAAATGAATCCAACCATCACATCTAAGCTGTACTGCAAGTAAGCTCCAATATATTAAAATGTTAACATTTGGGTTTAATACCACTTTAATCTGAACATTAAAGTAGAACTTTACCTTTCAAAAAAGTTTGCAAGCAGGAAGCTTTTTAATCACAGAAGAAACATGCTAGCTCTCTGCTGCAACAAATGTTTTCCACTTTCCTGCTCTCAAACTTCTTTTGAGCAAAACTTAAGTTTTATTTTTTAATTTTTTGGAGTGTACACTGAGCCATGCATGCGCAGCTCAGTGTACATTCTCGGCATACTTTTATGCAGAGGTAAAAAAAAAAAAAAAGTTATCCCAGTCTGGCCAATAAAAATGTCTGAAAATGCTGAATCTCGAAGACAACTAGGTGGTGATGATGGCACATCGCTGGAGGGGAGAAGGGTATAGCATACTTCAGTTCTGCTTTATCCACCCTCAGACTTTGGTTCATATTATCTACCACTGATGGCTTCAGGCTACGTTTACACAGCGTTGTGTGTAGGCGGCAGAGAGGCATTTGGGAAGCTTCAACGCCTCTGACAGTTCTGCACATTGCAGCACATGGTGCTGTTCTAACGGGAGTGTTAGCGTTGTGGCAAAATGGACGCCTCTGGTCAAGTCAGGAGGCGTTGAAGCCTCCTATTATAGTCTATGGTGCTGCTCCGCAAACTCCCAGTCGGCATTTGCGGCACGGTTGCAACGTGGTTGCGGGGCGTTTGCGGAGCGGTAACACCATTTAAAAATTCATTATAGGCATTTGTGGAGCGGTTTTTAATGCTCGGCAAACGCCTAGCAACCTCCGCTAAACCGCGCATGCGGCGTTTGCCGAGCAACGCTTGCTAAACACTATAGGGGCGTTTGGAAAGCGTTGGTAAAACAGTCAAGTGTGAATGAGCCCTAACTCCCTTGTATATAAGCCTGTGGCCACGCCAAAATAAAGTGCTCACCAGAAGTCACCATCAGAGTACCATTCAGTTTGTTAAAAGTGTAAAGGACTGATATCCTTGCTTAAAAATGCAAAAAAAACACACTAGCTTGCATTGCAGCTCTAGGATGGCTACTAAACTAAGGGTGGGCTAATACTATTAAAAGAACAGAATGGTTTAGGAACTGCATCCGAAAAGACTGTGGCATACGGTTGATTTCCACATGCCTGAAAATGTAAAGTGTCTGCCATTACTTAAAGGCCTCTTTTACACCTTTCTGCTCTGGTACAATGTATTCAAATGAATTATGTTGGCGTTAATGTAAGGTTGGCGCTGGCGTTCACTTGAATGGGCTGCCAGCGCATCAAAACTGTCAAAATACATGCGTGTACCTTTTTGCCCTGATACAGCACATCAAAATGCACAGTAGTGCATTACAGCTTGTTGAGGTACGCAGCAATGTAGTTGTTTTGGGGTGCCGTTCAAAATGGTGTGAAGAAAGCCTAAAGTAAATATAAGCTTTTGTAACCCGATTGTGCAAAGCCCAACAGTGCTGCAATATTTTTCATTTCCAAATACCGAGCTTCGTAACTTGTCTACTATAAAGCAAGCCCTCCTCAATCCAGATTAAACTTCCGCATTCTAGCATGTGGAAATGTACATTTGAAACTTCCCAAATGTTATCAACCACTTGCATCTTCCACTGCTTATTCAGTCAATGAGGGAAAAGAAACTTCTCTACACAGAACAGCAAAAGGATTTATATAAAACTCATGAAGCTTTTATGGGTATTTTCTTGCAATTCCAGACAAGTAACACAGTGCTTCCTCCTTTACATTAAAAATAAAAAATACTATACGATGCATGGTCCCAACATATTTAACAAGGTCTTTTGGCAAAAATTTGAAAAAAAAAAAAAAAAAAAATGTGTGGCATAGGTCAATTTTCATAACCCCGCCCTTACTCAGAAAAATCAAAAACAGAACCAGAATTTATTTAAAAAAAAACAAAAACAAAAAAAAAACAAACTATATACTGGATGTCATGGACAGGAAAAGGTCATGGTAACACTTGAAAAATGAGGGTAAAAATCTTGGCTTTTAATTAATGAAAAGTTTGTTTTTAATCCTTGTCTCCTTTGCATGAGGCCGGCCTGAAAGGTTGGGATAGCGATATATTGTGACACTTCAGAAGTTAATGGCATCTAACCCAACTCCTGAAATTACACAAGTGTCTTTGAGTGGAGGCACCTGGTGGATGGGTGGGTGGAATGTTGACTGAGAATGGTGGTTACAGTCTGTGCTGGAATGCTGATCATCGCCTGGGCCCGGAGGAAAGTGTTGGGTGGAATGTGATCTGGCAGTGGGCACCTCCAGCTCAGCTAAGATAGTGTTCTTCTTAATCTTCAGATTCATCATTGTTGGTGAGACTGGCCACTAGATCCTCTAATTTGGAGATTCGTTCAGCCTGGGACCTGATGTCCTCCCTCATTAAACGCAGCTCCTTCATCACCTCATCTAGCTTGCCATCATTTGGCTGAAAAGCAAAGAAGTTTTAGGACAGTTTTAGAATTTTATTTAGAAAAAAAAAAAAAAAAAAAAAAAAAAAAGAAGATTCAAAACAATGTAATATTAGCATTACACACAATGAAATACGACGCATCTCATTTCCCTACCACACATGCATTTCAAGTACTTATATAGATACATAACACATTACCACCAACTTGCTAAAAATTAAAAAAAAATTCATCTCCCTTAGCAGCAATCCAATACCATGCCTCAAAGTATACTCACCCTCATTACCAACAAAGCTACTCTGTAGAATTTAATGATGTAGAGTTTAACAATCTTATGGCACAGTGAAAAAAAAAAAAAAAAAACAAAAAAAACAAAACCAAAAAAAAAAAACAAAAAAGACACTAACCTAATTTTGACATACCTGTTAATTCCATATCATAGAAGTACAGGGCACACAAATTGGTTCTTAGATCTTGGGTAAATGCCCCTACCTTCAGGCATTTGTGACAATGGAAAAAGCTTTCCTGTAGGCACAAAGGACCCCACCCATAAGGTAATGTGAAAATTGTGCCAGGCAGAACATGGTAAGTGAGTACATTTCCCAAAATTTGATGGGAAGAGTACCAAGGAAGCAAGGAGGACTAACGTCTAGACACCTTGTCCCAAGCAGCGAAATAGCAGCAGTCCCCTCAGCCTTAGCAGACTCCTCAGCACCGTTCCAGCTCCATAGATGTCCATTTTTCCGATAGCCGCTAGGGTCCTGTCGAGCCTTCAAAGACTGTGCCAGCTGGACACACCTCCATTTCACGCACTGTCTCTCCAATACCATCTACAAGGTTAGTGTCCGCGTCGATTCCTCCCCGTGTTTCTTCGGACAGCTATGACAAGTGATCTGATGTGGGAGATGCCCTAGGTCAGTGGTCGGCAAGCCGCGGCTCTTCACAAACTTTAATGCGGCTCTTCTGTGTGCCGGGTGCCCGCTCCCCTCCCTCCTCTCGGGCGGCCGCCCCAAAAGTCAGGACTCTGCAGCTAGCCCAGCAATGGGCAAACTACAGCCCGGCGGACCTTTTAATCCGGCCCGCGGAGCGTGGCAAACATTGGCTGTCAGGATGTAGGCGGGGCAGCGTGACAAACTCCTCTCCTCTCACAGTCCGCCCTGAAGACTGGAACGGCGCGGGAACACGGCGAGAGGAACGCGCAGAGCAAAGGTAAGTGAATTGACACAATATGGGGAATGAATTACTATAGGGGAGATGAATTACTATAGGGGGGATGAATTACTATATGGGGGATGTATTTTCAGTTTTAAAAATGTGGCTCTCAAAATAAATTTCAATCGTGGTTTTGGCGAGATTTGGCTCAGTTGAAAAAAAAAGGTTGCCCACCACTGCCCTAGGTGATCAAGACCTCCGCACACACATCTAATCTCTCCCCACAAAAGATCTGGAGCTGTTCACCACATGGTTAGAGAAAGCCGTGGGGCAAGACATTGAGAACTTACAAGATGAAACTACACACCTTGGGGATAGAGTCACTAGAAACACGAGTGGAGGAAATGCTAACTGCCCTACAGATACTAAAGGGAGAAATGTTTGACAAAAAAAACAAACTGACTCCTTACTTGACCAGTTGGATGGCTACGAAAATAGAAACCGCAGAGCCAACATTCACATCAAGGACCTGCTGCAGGCCACCTCGTCCAGGGACATGGTCTCCACCTTACAAGGCCTTTTCAAGCAGATCTTGGGCCGTGACGCCCCACCACATATTGAGATAGATCGTGCCCTTCTTCCCCTCCCTTCCGGTCCCGTGGTATACTGCTATATGGCACATAGTTGGGTGTATGTAATTCACTGAAAGGGGCATGCTATTTGGCTCACACCAGCGGGCTCTGATGCTCCCCTTGATACCTCCTCCGGCTGTTCAATCCACTCATTTGCCTTCCTAAAACACTTTCAGAAAACCTTGCATGCTCATCATTTGATAGACTGCTGGAGAGTTCTTCAACCCACTACTGAGTATTTCAGCTACTACTTGGCCACTCAATGTGTACACTCACATTGATCTATTACTAAAGGATCAATTTTTATTAGAATCTCTCTCCAGTGCATCTATTGGCTCCCTCACACTATCTGACCATGCTCCCGACTTTCTCTTTGATCCCCCTGTCACCAGACACTAAACAAACAATGGACCTGGTGCCCGAATGAGAATTTGCTAGACACTGTGGTACTCCAACAGGTCTCTGACTCACCAACTTATTTCACTGAAAATATGTCGGGGGAAGTAAAGGCAGTCTCCATTTGGGAGGGCCACAAGGCGGTGGTTAGGTGCAAACTTCTCTCTCAAGACGCCCATTTGAAAAGGGAACATACCGGTGAGCTTCAGAGCCTCATAACTAACATTCACCAGGTGGAAGACACAAAAAAGTCATACTACCCCTGATGCTATGGCTGAACTCCAATCCCTTCTAATTATCTAACCTCCTGGAGGCACGAATCCACACCTGCTTGCGACATCTCTCCCAGAAATTTTATGAATTTGGGGGAAAATGTGGGAAATTGTTGGCTAGAGCTCTGCAAGGTCAGTGAACTTCTACACATGTACAAAAGATACAATACGTGCCATGGTCCTACACCCCTCTAAAATAGCAGAAGCGTTTCGAGACTATTATGCTCAACTCTACCTTCTACCAGGCACTCACCCTGGGACTTCTACATAACAGAAGGTGTTGCATATCCTTCAATATTTGGAGAAAGCAGTTTTCCGAGGCTCACACCTCAGGTCTCTCTTAAGCTTGACACACCTATAACACTGACTGAATTGGCAGTGGTTATCAAAGAACTCCCTAAGGGTAAGAGTCCAGGCCCAGACAGCTTTACCAATGACTATTATGTTAAATGCGCTCTTCTTTCTACTCCCATGTGTTCCTACTTTATTGCCTTAGCCAAGGGTACCAGCACACCAAGTGGATCCTTACTGGCTTATGTCATTGTCCTCCCAAAGGAGTGTTGCAAACACAATACAGACAGACGTTACCAACTGGGATCGGGCCTCATTCTCCTGGATGGGCTGTGTAAACATACTGAAAAGAATATCCTGCCTAAGATCCTCTTCTATTTACAAATGGTACCCATCTGTTCAAGCCTCAATAGCCACTTCATGCACTTTGTCTGGAATAAGCTCCCCCTTCATCTGGCATTAATTGGAAGAGCCTAAACGGATGGGTATCCTGGCCATACACTGCTACTATGAAGCCAATGAATTTGGAGTCAACCAATGCAGTGCAAACTTCTGAATTCAGTACTCTTCTAAACACTGGCATAATTAAAGTATGATTACTTACAGCGGTGTAGGCTTCTGGTGTCTTTTTAGCAGTACTAGCTGGCTCAGTCTTCTTCTGTGCGGCTGGCTTACTTCCCAAAATATTTTTCTTCACCACATTTAGATCACGGTTCTTGGTTGGCACGTACCCATGCCTCAGAGATATCAAAATGGGGCTTGCATTTTTGCCAAGAAACCAATCTTCAGCTTCAAGTGGAGCTTCTGGACCAGCAGTATCAGGGTATAAATCATCTTGAAACAAATCCGACTAGAAGACAAGATTTTAAACTCAAATGTTTCTTCGAGTATAGTAAGTGCATAATGCATATCCTGTCCATTTAATAGTGCAGCTTTCAGCAGCTACATCCAACCTAATGTCAACAGAAGGTAAATTGTAATGGTTTTTTTTTTCTTTTTAACGGAAGACATTGTCGTTTGATAATGTTGACACATACCATAGCAAAGCTAGAGAAGCAAGAATATTATTATAATTTTATGAATATCACAGAAATGACTCCTGAAAAACTTGCATTGGTCTGCATTGTGCAATGCAGCCCCGATGGAAAAGGACAAAAAGTGCCCCGATTCCAGTTATCTCAAAACACTAATGTGTTGTGTTAGTGTGCACTGGTCAAAGATGGAACATGTTGCATTTAAATGCAGTTCAACATGCTAAAAAGTAGCCATTTAAAAAAAAAGTTTAACATTTTTGCTTTTTATAGTGGTACTCTACATTTACAAATAGCTCTATAAATCACTTCATCTTTAAAGTGATACTAAACCCAGGACCCTGCATTCACTAGATCTGGTCTCCCACAGTACACAGAACATGGAAGTGCAATTATTTTAGTAAATATAAACTGCTAAATATCTTTTCTCATTAACAGTTAGAGCAGTCTTGTGACTTCAGCAGTGCACTGGATAAAGCTAGTAGGAATTTTCTTTCTGCTCTAGGAGGATGTGAAACCCCTGACCACTGTCTGGACAGTGCTGATTGGCCCTGTGCTAATCACATGCACTATCCCAAGGAAAAACGTCTCTAGCAATGCACACCAAACTGAGCATGTGCATGTGACTACGGATTCAGTCTGTATCAGGTGGTCATTTCAACAAGAGGAGAGAAAGAAAAAAGGATTAAACAGCCTTTTTATACAACGCAGAGTATTAACCCCTTAGGTTCCACAGTGAGTATAACAAGCATGCTTTACTGCATACACAGACTGACTTTACTGTTGTGGGTTTAGTAACACTTTAAAGTAGATTTTCACTGGGCCAAATTGGGATAACAGCAAACTTTATATTACACATTCTCAACTTTAAAAAAAAAAAATCTTGAAAAAAAAAAAAAAAAAAAAAAAATCGCAGCTTACCGGTTTGTAAATGATCCTATTTAGAAACTCTAGCACTGTAATATCCTACTTCTGTGTTTATGACGGGCCTAAGGGGATGTGTTTGCTATAATTAACCCCATTTGTGCTGGGAGACCTCATCAGTTGTAAACTAGATTTGAACACTGTCTGTCCTAAGAATAGGTTAAATATTTAAAAAGCTCTGATTCTCAATTGTATGCTAAATGAGAGGAAAACCAATTCAGAAATACTGGGTTAGGGCACCATCGACTAAGCAACATGGAAATCGTAAGAAATAAGTTTATATGCTTATCATATAAAGGGGTTTTTTGCAAAATTTGACTGTAAAAGTGGAAATACACTGTAAGAAACTTTAAAATGCAATTATGTGTGTCAATATGACAAAGAAGCAGTTACACACTCATAATTCACCAGCTCTTCTCTCCCCTTCTGTTCGCACAAGCAGAGCCTTATTCGCATCTATAGCTGCCCCTCCCAGTGTGTGTGCTGCTGTGTAGATGACAGGAAGTTGATATTAACCACTTGCTGACCAGCCATGTACCTGGTATATCACTGGACTTGAAGTGGTTGCACCTGGATGTGCCATCCCGGCACAGTTTTTTTTTTTTTTTAGAGCCGACAGTCCGTTCTCTTGTAATAGCAATCAGAGCGGCTTGCTAGCTATTGCAAGCAGCAGGAGACTATGTACCCCCACTCCTGCTTTGTCAGGATCTCCCATCCCACCAGGAGTCCTGATTGGCTTTGTTTCACTCTGTTACATAGTAACCTGAAAGCGATGACCTCACAACACTTCTGGTTTACTCGGAAATGCATGCAGCCATTTTAAAAACAAAAACATTCAAATCACACCTTTTTGTGATTAAATGCTTTTAAGGGCAGAGGACGGATTTAGAGTCTTATTGTCCCCAGATCCCTCCATAAAGAGTACTTGTCACAGGCCTATTGCTGTGCCAAGGATTGTTTACATTCTTTGTGACAGCAATAAAAGCAATTAAATGTATTTATTTTTTACAATGTCGTTTTTAAAATATTTTTAAGTGCCCCCACCCCGCAAAGGCGAACTCACGCATCGGTCTCGTATGCATGCACCCAGCAATCGTCCCACACGTGAGGTATCACCGCAAATGTGAAATATCAGGGGTCTAAGCAGGGAAGGTGATCATGGACAGGATGGTGAACTGTGTGGTGGGGCGCAGCAATTACTAGAGCCGATCCCTCTGTGTGGCTCTTTGCAGCAGCTGAAAGCTGGCAGAAGGGAGTAGGAGAAACCAGCTTTCATCTGCTGCAGGGAGAGCCATGCAAGGATCAATTCAAGTAATTGGTCCCCTGCCAGTGTGCTTTTATTTGGCCTTGCTTTGATAAATGTAGTTACAGCATGCACCCTCAATAACTATCTTTTGTTTCTTTTTACTAGCTGCTGTGCCCCAAACAACGAGAGTTTTACGACAGGTATCCCTTTAAGCAATAATGCCCATCACTGAAACCCCCAGTGAAAGGATCAGTTCCTGTAAGGCATATTTTCTTACACCCAAGACACTTATGATCTCTTCTTTCAATTGGTTATTTTCCAAAAATGATCACTTTTACTGACCTTCCTGGGCACAGTCATGATAATAGGCTCACACTTCCTCTCATGCAGTTTGTAGAACCTCAAAGAAAAGAAAAAAAAAGAATAGTTACTCAAAGTAATGACAAAATTGTGCCCTTATACAAAAAACATTCAAAACAAAAATTCCACCAGTTGCCAGATCCATAAACATACAGAACAAAAATGCTGTATCATTCTTTCACCACTAAGGTAAACGTTATAACTTTGTAAATAATAATACAGTAAGTGTCACCAATGACAGGAAAAAATAGATGGAGATTCACCGTCGGCACCTGGTGATCGCCGAGGAACAGTGATGGGGTAGAGGTCTGTATGTAAACAATACAGATCTCCCCCATCAGCTCCAGCACGCTGCTTTGTATTGCTCTGCATAGCAGAGCAATACAAAGCAGCGTGCTTACACAGTAAACCCTTTGATCGCCCCAGATGTTACCCCTTCCTGCCCAGTGTCATTAGTACAGTGTCAGTGCTTTTTATTAGCACTGATCACTGTATTCGTGTCACTGGGGATGTCAGTGACAGTCATTTCCCCCACCAGTGTCAGAATGCCCGTCGCAGTTCCGCTATAAGTTGCTGATCGCCGCCATGACTAGTAAAAAAGGAAGAAAAAAAAAAAATTGCAGTATATATATACACCGCCATTTGTAGACACTAACTTTCATGTAAACCAATTGGGATTTTTTTTTTCTTTTTTTAGCAGACATGTTGCAGAACATATTTTGGCCTAAATTTATGACGAAATTTGATTTTTAAAATTTTTTTTTTTACTGGATAGGTTTTCTTTTATTTTTCTTTATAGCACAAAAAAAAAATGCGGAGGCAATCAAACACCACTGAAAGAAAGCTCCATTTTTAGGGGAAAAAAGGACAAAATTTCATTTGGGTGCAGCGTTGCATGACTGCACAATTGTCAGTTAAAGTAACGCATCGCCGTATCGCAAAAAATGTCCTGGTCAGGAAGGGAGGTAAATCCTCTGGAGAGCAAGTGGTTAAAGTGATTATAAAGCTAAAATATATATTTTTTTTAACCTTAAAAAGGAGAAGTGCGGATTATTTTATATTACTGAGCATTATATAGCAATGAGTAATAACATGCCTGATGATCACTCAGTTCTCGGCCTTCACTGAGAAGAGAGTGTGACAGTAAGTCACTGGCTCTCTGCTCTGCCCCTCAGAGCTCACTGGAGCGTTGGGCTGTGGCTGGGGAGCATCTGGCTCAGTATCTCAGCAGAGTACTGAGAAGCGGAGCCAGCTGCTACTCCAGCATCTGGGAGGATTGTCAGGATTCTTGCAAAGCCTGGACTGGCTCTGTGGCATCAACCCACTGCAGACTTTTTCTTGCTGTCGGCTGCATCTGGGTCACAAGATTGCAGAAATAAGTGCACTCCTGTGACCCAGAAGAGAAGTATGACTAAACGAGCTTTGGCCATACTTCTTTTAATGCATTCTTGGCATTAAGGTAAATGCTTTACAACTTGCTGTTCTGCAATCGATCCAGTCCTCAATCAATCTAGCCCTGTGCACGTTTGCATCTCTTTTCTCCCCTCTCCCTTTACACACAGGGGTTGATGCAGTAGCAGCAGTGATTGGCTCCTGCTGTCAATCAAATGCTGTGAAGAAGCAGAAGAGGCAGGCTGAGCCTAGTTTGGTATCTATGAAAGCACACAGCCTGGCCCAAGATCAAGCCCACACATCTGCCCCTATAGCAAGCAGTTTGCTATGGTGGCAGACACAGAAAAGGAGAGGACAAAAAAAAAAAAAAAAAAAAAAAAAAGGAGAGGATAGCGAAGGCAGGGGACCCCTTTGTTCCATGCCACTGCACAACAAGTATAAGATGACCACTGGGTGGGTGGGAGCAGCCCCAATGAGGAGATTTCAGTAAATTAGAGAAAAGGGGTATTTGTTCCCATGGAGACAATTTATAAGGGAATTACCAGCAATATCACAGTCTGGCTAGCAGAACACAGCAGGATAATGGAGAGAGGGGTCTAAGGATGGTTGTGCTGTTCAAATGGACAGCTCACAATGGCCTCAAGGTCCCATCGGTTGACAAGGAAGAATGCTGTATAGATGAAGGTTGCACAAGGAGTGAAAGGTGTTGATAGGAAAAGGGTGAATGAGATTGACCAGGATCTACAGGGTTCCAATTGAAACGTCAGATGTATAGTCAGGTCAAGGATGAGGGGTGAGCAAGGAACTTGAGAAAACTCCTCCGCCTAGTAGACTAATGAAAAACCTCATCCCAATAATTACCAAGCAGGAGTACATCTTGTGCCCAAATAGGGATGTAAAGAGATGAATCCAACATAAGAATGGAATTTGCTAAAAAGGGAACACCTGGGTGTAAGGTTATTAAGAAATTGCTTGCCCAAGCGGTCATACAGTCACACACTAATGAGGATGGCTGAGTACCCAAGTGCCAAAGTTGCCGTGGACCATGGGTGGAGAGGAAAGGAAGCCCATCCAAGAAACCCCACGCACAGGGGAGCAGAAACAGTTTTGGATACAGACTGCAATAGTGTATCCCCATATTGAGATTGAGACATAGCCAGGGGAGAACAGATTAAACACCTTATCATGGAAGAGAAAATTGGCAAACTGCAGCTGGTGAAGGAATGGAGAATAAAAAGGTGTGTTCGAATTTAGGATAACGCTTGAAGGTGAATTCAGGGAGATCATATCTTAGCAGAATGAGATAGCTGTGTAAATAACCTCTTCAACTAGAGGTAATTAGGAACCAGTCACCTAAGAATAAAGACCTAACCCCGTGCTGCCTTCAGGAGAATGCACACAACAGAAAAAAAAAAAAAAAAAAAAAAAGGCATAAAAAAAAAGGGGATTTGATCAGAATAGGATGCCAACTTTTTTTTTCTTTTAACTAGATATCCAGAACATAGACCAACTTGTACTGAAAAGGGTATCTGAAGAAGACAATAATACCAGTTACACCTAAACAATATGTCAGGAAACACAACTTTCCACAGCATGTAGGCACAGCCTTTGGGAAATAGAGAAAACATCAGTCGTCAGTTTCTGGATGACAGACGTCAGGTGTTTGGAGGCCAATAGCCAAACTCAGATCCCACAGATTATCCCAAGGGTTGACAACAATGCCAATAATCTAGTACACCAGCAAATGGAAGAAGCTATTCTTGTCAGTAAGAAAAGTTTAACAGGGAAAAGAATTTCCCTGGCATCAGAGTGTTTGACGCAGATATACAGGAATCTTTACAAGACTAACTATAGATTAGACAAAAGGTTGTGTCAGGGGGCACTTGTGTAAGCCTGACAACCAAATAATCATATCAATGGATCTTGTGCAATGGGGTACGTAAACCTCTAAAGATGGGAATTCCTTTGTAGGAGTTGGTAAGCTCTGAAATCCTCTTTTAAGTAGGAAAACAACAAACACCCATAGTAATAAGTGAAAACGGGGTTAGGGAACCTTGTTCTTTTTCCCAAGTTCATAGGAACAGAAAAACTAGAATGGTAAGGAAAGGACAGAAATTTCAGGACAGGACATCTCCTGGAAAAATTAAAGAGAAAAGTTTGGGGTTAAGTGTCCATAGACCGCCTCTATAAGCCTCCTATTATCATGAGGAAGGCTGTTCAGAATCTCTGGTGGGCTAATGGGGGGGGGGGGGGGGGGGGGTTTGCCTCAGAAATCAGTACCTACAGTAAATAACTGCATCTGCGAGAGGCACATGGATGCGAACCTCAGGGTAGGAGATATGCAATACAAAGTGAAGTAAGATTTTGGATAATAGAGTCTGAAATATCTCCCAGTAGCTGTCAGAAGTAGTAGCGGTCTCAATGTATTAGCTGAGAGACTTGCCAGGTCCACCTTGGGAAAGGACAATTTTTTTTTTGCAAAATTCTGCATTCATACAATACAAAAGGCTTTGCATATGGCAAAAAGGTAAGCAACTTCCTCAAAAAGTAGAGAAGAGAAATCTCAAGCTGCCACTGGCAGAAAATTTGCATTCCTTTTGGTATGTGCCTCAGTGGGTGCGTCAAGCAAATCTATTGTTTGGGCAGAATTAAGATTAGAGGAAGGCGTGGCAGAAGAGTGCTTGGGGTTGATAGACCCTTCTGATTCCAGAAGTAGTTAAAACTTAAAGAATAGGTCAGACATAGTAGCTGTGAATTCGGCCTTATTCAAACACACCTGTAAGGGAGCTGGAGTTAAAGGTTTGGAGCGTTGACAATGGTAGACCTAGCTCTGTCTAGGGAGGGAGCCACTAGTAACTTGGGAGAAACTGTCTCCTCTAAGCTTGTTGCAGATTTGCTGCTGCCTGTGTTTCGGATCCCAATCACCTGTAATTTTCTATTGCCAACAAAGGGTATTCTGTGGGGTACTCACGAAATGAGTACAAATTAAGGGAGGTTCAGCATGACCGGTATGAAGGCGTTACAATTAGGAATGCACCGAAATTTCGGTGGCCGAAATGGTTCGGCCAAAAACACCCCTTTCGGCCATCATAAAAAAAGCACTGATACAGGTGAAAAAAAAAAAAAAAAAAAAAAAAAAAAAAAAAACCACACACACTTCTTCGCCGCTCAGTAGTTCTCAGTCTTACCCGAGAAACCATCGATCGATCCAGCGCTGGGCATAGAGATGAGTGAAGGAAAGCTGGCCTCCACTCATCTCTATGCCCTTGGAGGACCGGAATGATGTCACTTCCTGTTCAAGCCACTTTTTTTTTTTTTAAAAGCAAATCTATCACAAGGGATGCATGCATTTCCTGTAATAAGGAAAAAAAAAAATATATATATATATATTTTTTTTTTTAAAAGGGACAGTGCAAAAAACAAAACAAAAAATATTACATAAATAAAAAAAAGTTTAAAGTGCCCCCGTCCCCCCATGCTTGCATGTAGTGGTGAATGCATACGTAGGCCATGCCCACATATGTAAATTGTGTTCAAACCACACGTGTGAGGTATCACCACGAACGTCAGAGCAAGAGCAATAATTCTCGCACTAGACCTCCTCTGTAACTTTACACTGCTAACATGTAGAAATTTTTAAAGCATCACCCATGGAGATTTTTTTAAGTACTGCAATTTCACGCCATTCTACGAGCGTGCGCAAATTTTAAAGCGTGACATGTTGAGTATCTATTCACTCGCCGTAACATCCTCTTTCATATTTTACAAAAAATTGTGGTATATATATTTTTTTTGTTTTTTTTAATCCGTGCATTTTTTTCTAAAAAATATATATTCATTTTTAAAAACTGCGCATTTCGGTTTCAGTTTTTGGCCAAGTGCAATTTGAATTTTTGTTTTCGGCACCACAACCTCAGGGAGTTGGGGGTTATATGGGAACACCAGAAGGCAGACCCAGCAAGCTTTGCAGTGTGCGGGAGGCAGCACATTTGCGTTTGGCCAGCGCCAAGAGGTTATAGTGGCACTAAAATCTAAATTTTTATAAAGTGAATGTAACATGTATAAATATAACTAGAAATTACCCTCAATTTCTCTTTTCCTTTATTTTCTCTCTCAAAAGCAAGCATTTTTCTGATATTCTCAGACTCTGTTCAAGGGTGGCTACCGTTTTATTTCCATGCTCCCCCTTGTGTATGGGCACAGCCACCCTTTCATGCTCAACCCCAAGATGGACTACACATCTACAAGCAGCTCTATGGGTATTTTAGTACATACAGCGATGCATGTGACCAGGTGCATCAGTGAAAGATAGGGAGGTTGCACAGGACAAAAAAAAGCCTAAAAACAAAAAATGGTACTTTTTTTTTTTCCATTAATGACCAAATCACGGTATACGTTATATTTTACAACGATTGAAGGAAAAAAAAAAAAGTGTTTAGTGTCACTTTAATGATGTGGTGTATAAAAACTGCACATGATCCAGTAGGTGATTTGTGTCCCACGGGCTCTGAAAACATCAACTCTAATAAGCCGTGGAAGCGCAAGGCTAAAACACAAGAACTGACTCCCTTCTTTCCTAGTCTTTATTTTGCAACAGAGCACCAAGTACAGAATGGCATACAGAGGTAGACTTTTACATCTCTTTAAGGATGATTAGTCTTCCTGGCAGCCTTCTCGATAATAGGGACAAAACTGAACCAACTTGGTAGCACTACACAAAAAACACACCCAGGACTATATTTACTGAAATAGTCACATGACAAAAGGGATGTCACTCAGGTGTGTCTATATAGCAAGTCTAAAAATGTCCCAACACCACCAGTAATTTTGACACTGATGGATACTGCAGATAAAACAGACTTCAGTGAACGAGTAGACAAGAATGTAAAAAATAACAGAAAAATGTTTTAACCATGCCAAGAAAATGATTGACAAAAACAAAGCTTGTAAGGGATGAGGTCCAATAATGGTCCTAATTTTTTTGATTACAGAATATTTCCTTCATAACGTTTCCCTGAGTTGTCAATTTATCAAACTGAATATTTTAAAAAAGCAGTCAGCCTATACCCTAGATTGGAAATCACAGCTGCTATATAATGGATATCTTATTGAACACTGAGACCCTGCAATTACAGACTGTGTAAGCCTCCATAAAATCCTGAGAAATTAAAGTGCCTGGTATCAAATCGATGAGCTGTAATGGATTTGTAAGAGGTAAGTTGAGGACACACTAGCATTAAAACAGGGATCAAAGCTTTAAGTGCTCACGCTGTAATATTTAGGCCTTCCACCTTATAAATAATTCCAGAAGTCTTTTCCTCAAAAGAGATGGCTAACCAGTGCTCTCTCAGGTTACTGTTTATGTACGCTAAATTTACTCTTTCAGATTATAACTTTTCAAATGCTTCCATAACATTTAGAGTCTATAACAAACATATTAAGACGCACTGCACAAGTATGATTTGCCCACACTTAATGGCTAAACAATCCACAAAATAAGAAAAAACCCTAAGGCCAACAAGCACAGACATGGATTAGAAGTCTACATACATCTAATCCTATGACAACTGAAACAGTGACCAGGCAAAAGTCAAGCATGACCACCAAAGCTAATTTAGGGAGAAATTTAGGGAGAAATGCACCCCTTGAATGAAAGCTTGAGATTAAAATGAAAGCAATGCTAAGAGAGACTCTCCTTCTGAAAAAGTTCAATTCCTTGCAATCCTATGCTTTCATATCCTGCTGGGCACCACCATCTTGGATGTGATGTCTGAAGCCCAAATATATGCAGAGCAGTAACCAAAGCGATACAAAATAGCAATTTAAAGTGCAACAAGAGGAGAGATTACATGCAAGGCGGGAGGAGCTGCTCAAAGGAATTTACGAAGGCTTCTTTTGCAATGGCAGTATGCCTAATGACCTCCTACAAGAGAACCACAGATTGTTTTTCAGAGAGTGGTATACCAGCAGGTGACAGGAGTTCAGGAGGCGCTACGGTCATCTGTTTTTGTTTAATTGCTTAACAGGAATACCGTGCAGCCCCATTGATTTGATTAGTTTTACGAGTGGTGCCATCCCATCAAACTCTGCAGCCATAATATATGGCCAAGAAGGGGGAGGGGAAGGAGTAAAGAAATGAATTACACTAAAAAAAAAAAAAAAACTTAAACCATCCCACGTGTGGTGAACACTACAATGGCAAGACAAATATGCAAATGGAAGCATTGGGAAAACATACACCTGATGTTGCACACAACACTTCAGACAAGAGACAAAGGGAAGGTTTCGAAATTACTTTGGACTTAGTCACATTCAGATTTTAAGGGCTAAGCTTCGCATTAGCACTGAAATTAAAAGGGAGCTGTGTAGAATATAGATTACAATGCTGAATGTATCAGCATTACTGTAATTTAATTTAGTTTTGAGTGTATCAACATCCTAAGGAAATTTATTTTAAGTATTACAATTATTGTTATAGCACTGACCATTTATGCAGCGTTTTACATACCTGTACATTCACAACAGTCTCTGGCCTCAAGAAGCTTACAATCTAAGGTTCCTCATCTCACATACATACACATATTGGGGTCAGCTTAGACTGGAGCCAATTAACCTACCCAGTATGTCTTTGAGATGTGGGGTGAAACCCATGCAAGGAAAGAGAAAGAGCATATTCCATGGAGATGTCCTGACTGGGATTCAATCTAGGAACCCCAGGGCTGGGGCAGAAGTGCTAACCACTAAGCCATAGTGCTGTCCAAGCAATCACAGACCTATACACAAAACAGCTGGTGGTACATAATGAGTAACTGCTTGTTCTTTTTGCTAGACTTGGGCTGCACTCACACTGGGGCTGGTTATACTGAATAGAACCCATAGTCGGATTCACCTCCTCCCCACTGCTCTGCTGGTCTGCTCTCAGATTGGACTAAAAGTGTTCCTGGGTGAACTCTTCTGCTAACCAGACCAGTGATTCCTGCTTCTGTACATTGTCATCTATTGAAGGTTCTGTCCTCAGGCATGGTTTGCAATCACGCTAAAGTAAACCGTACCAGACCACAAGTGAACTATGCCCAAGACCACATTTTCCAAGTCCATGTGCAGCACGATTAACTGATCATGGGCATGGTTTGGAGCACACATATTACACAAAAAAAATTGCCTAAGCAGGTGAACCACACCCAAGAGTGGTTAAAAGTGCTAGTGAGAATGCACCCTTAGTCTCACTAAAGACTGAATTATGCAAGGTGTGTGGTTCTCCTTGCTTCAGCAAGTCACAAACTCACACTCTAATCCAACACTCCAGGATGTGTTATGTGCTACTGCACGAACCAAGAACCCATATGCATAACAGGGTTTAGATAATAGTAGATTCCATTTAAGGTACTACCATAACAAAAACTCTGGCAAAGAAAATAACGCATAGGCTTTTAATGTCAAATTAATCCCTTGTATTTACAAGAGTATTTTTTAATTCTCTGGTACCTATGTACCTTTGCAGTAACAAGTTCTCTTTGCTCTGAATATATTCGTATATATCTTCTATGTAAAGGGAATACCTGGCAATCTCACACTTGTTGACATCCAGTCCCCTCTTTGGCATGTACCCCATTCCCCGCTGCGGTTCCTTACTGCTGAATGTGTTGAGGTAGTGAACATATGGGACTCATCTGTGATCTCAAAGTATCGAATACTGCTGTCACCCTGTTAAGAGAGACATCAACATTATAACATCCTAAGAGAAAAAAAAAGAAAAAAAACTTAATCAACTTCCAGGTAAAGGGGACTATGCTGGGCAAAAAATGCACCCTGTCATATGCTAAACTGTACCTGGGAAATGGAAAAACAACATAATAAAACACAATACCAGTGCCATGTGTTAGTATGGCAAAGGTACATTAAAGCCCAAGTCCACTTTTCCTGTCACTTGAGCCCAGCTGACCCAAATGCCCAGCTGACCCAAATGAACTATTTTCTTTACTAAATGATGAGGCTGCTGTGAGAGCTGCATCATACTGTAGTAGAATCTGTTACATACAATATGCAATGTTCCAGGGCTGCGTTTCATTTTGCTCCAAACTATTTGAAGTGACGGAAAAATACACATGGTCCATGGTATCTTGGTTATGTTCCCTAATTTTAAAACTCGCAATTTCAGAAGAATAAACCTGAGTTTTATCTAACTGCTGCATGTTTAACGTCACTGCCATAAGTTGGGGTCTGTTTAATTTGTTAGTATGATCTTTGACAAAATAAATAATCAAATTAATAAATAGGAACAACATTTCAGTTATACATGAGAACATATAACTACCCCCTTTCACTCAATTTAAAAGCTTCCTGCCAATATGCATTTTCAATTATTGAGAATGCTGATCCAAAATCATAGATTGCTCTTACAAGAGCTTTATCAATGTTCTCCTGATTTTCAGGTGTCATTGTATCTACAAACAAAAAGGTATTGTGTGTTTTTGTGAGGCGATGGTTTGTAATTCTTCTTTACTTGAAGATGCTGCTGGTAAAGAAACATTATGTGATGATCCAGAAGCAGCAGAAAGTGTTTCTGGAATGAGAACTCTGGAGGGAAAAGCTACTTGCACTTTCATTATGATCTTCATCATTTCATTCCATAAAGTATAAGTTAATGTATCTGGGGCACCTCTAGCATGCCAGGATGTGCTTTGTCTTCCTTGCAGCATTTGGAAAAGAATATTTCTTCTTACAACATTCGCAAATTGTAGCTTTGCTCTCAGCAGAAATTGCACTGTGGAAATGTATATAAACTCTAGATGTTGGTCTCACCATTTTACTGAGAGGAGGAAACGAGAAACCAATTTACTGAGCAGACTATAGGTAAACTTTATGTTGTGATTAGAGATGAGCGAAGTATTCAAAAATTCGATTCGGCGAATTCGCGGAATAAATTCGATTCAAGTCGAATATATTCGCTGCGAATTTAACTTATAAAAAGGGTGTTTCTAGGCTTCAGAGAGCCTTTATATTAGTGCAGAACACTGTACCTTTAATTTAAATGCCCTTGGAGTCTGCTGGGGAAGAGAAAAATACTGTCAGTCAGTATGACATGCAGATGAGTGCCGTCGATCTTAGAATCACCGCACACTTCACTCATTTGGGCAGTCACGGGGCCAAAACCAGAGTGTGGAGCCACAGTGTGGCGGTGGAGGCAGCAGCAATGGGAGGCCATACAGCACCCTATGACAAAATGGAACCCACCAGCAGTGTGAGGAGACCTGAAAGTGGCACATGGCAGAGTGTGGCGATGGAGACAGCAGCAATGGGAGGCCGTACAGGGACCCATGACAGATTACGGGCCTGGCAGCAGCATGAGGAGGCGGTACAGGGGCCCATGACAGATTACGGGCCTGGCAGCAGCAATGGGAGGCCCGTAATCTGCCAGCACCCTATGACAAAATGGAACCCACCAGCAGTGTGAGGAGACCTAAAAGTGGCACATGGCAGAGTGTGGCGATGGAGACATGGGCCCCCTGGCCACGCTTGACTTTCTGGCCACATAGTCGACATACGGCTACGTTTACTTCCTCGGGCGGCTTGACGAAAAATTGCCACACCGCCGAGTAGGAAACTTTGCCCCCGCTACTCCTCACTGGCTGACTGCTACTTCCTCCGTGCACACCGGCACCACTACTGGCTGTGGTGGTAGGCTGCAGTGGAGCTGGTGCTCTACTCCGTGGCCGTTTGCCTCCACTGACACTGCTGCGACCCTGCTGCCTCCTGGGCAACCCACCGACTGTTTTGCTCGCTGCCAAGCTGGCACCCTCTTCTCCTGATGATGCGGAAGCAATAGCCTGATGACGACGAGGCTGCCAAGTGCGATCAGCCTCATCATCATCAATTAGGGTCTCCGCCTCACTACTAGCCCCCTCGGCTGCGTGTGGGTCAGGAGACAGACCTGTCTCTAGACCGGCTACCAAGCCACTCTCCTCGCCAGTACTTCTTCGCCTGGCTGCTGAAGAGGCGGACGTCTCCCCCCGTTCCTGACCGCCCTCTGTTAGCTCTTCCTCACTGTACAGTGGGGCTGAGCCCACAGCATGCGATACTTCGCTTGGTGAGGGAACACCAAAGGACAGGGGCAGGTAGAGGACACGTGATTTCAGTGGGCTTGCTCCCGGGCCATGCCAACTAACGGTTGTGTCTGACGTACCCACCGACCGTTGGCTGTAGGTGTCAGAGGTGACCTGGAAAGAGGAAGACGACCGAGCCAACCAATCGATGACGGCAGGGTTGTCGGTGGAGACACGACCGCTGGATGACACCGGGAGCACTGGCCTCTGGCTGCGACTAGTGCTGCCTCGACCCCTTCCTCTGCTGCCACGTCTGCTCGCTCCTGAAACATTGCCTCCTCTGCCACTCCTCTGCGTGTTGTCTGACATACTCTTTAATGTAACAATTCTGTGTCCGTCCCCCAGTAACAATTCTGTGTCCGTCCCCCAGTAACAATTCTGTGTCCGTCCCCCAGTAACAATTCTGTGTCCGTCCCCCCAGTAAACAATTCAGTAACAATTCTGTGTCCGTCCCCAGTAACAATTCTGTGTCCGTCCCCCAGTAACAATTCTGTGTCCGTCCCCCAGTAACAATTCTGTGTCCGTCCCCCAGTAACAATTCTGTGTCCGTCCCCCAGTAACAATTCTGTGTCCGTCCCCCAGTAACAATTCTGTGTCCGTCCCCCAGTAACAATTCTGTGTCCGTCCCCCAGTAACAATTCTGTGTCCGTCCGTCCCCCAGTAACAATTCTGTGTCCGTCCCCCTGAGTAAACAATTCTGTGTCCGTCCCCCAGTAACAATTCTGTGTCCGTCCCCCAGTAACCTGTGTCCGTCCCCCAGTAACAATTCTGTGTCCGTCCCCCAGTAACAATTCTGTGTCCGTCCCCCAGTAACAATTCTGTGTCCGTCCCCCAGTAACAATTCTGTGTCCGTCCCCCAGTAACAATTCTGTGTCCGTCCCCCAGTAACAATTCTGTGTCCGTCCCCCAGTAACAATTCTGTGTCCGTCCCCCAGTAACAATTCTGTGTCCGTCCCCCAGTAACAATTCTGTGTCCCCCAGTAACAATTCTGTGTCCCCCCCCAGTAACAATTCTGTGTCCGTCCCCCAGTAACAATTCTGTGTCCGTCCCCCAGTAACAATTCTGTGTCCGTCCCCCAGTAACAATTCTGTGTCCGTCCCCCAGTAAACAATTCTGTGTCCGTCCCCCAGTAACAATTCTGTGTCCGTCCCCCAGTAACAATTCTGTGTCCGTCCCCCAGTAACAATTCTGTGTCCGTCCCCCAGTAACAATTCTGTGTCCGTCCCCCAGTAACAATTCTGTGTCCGTCCCCCAGTAACAATTCTGTGTCCGTCCCCCAGTAACAATTCTGTGTCCGTCCCCCAGTAACAATTCTGTGTCCGTCCCCCAGTAACAATTCTGTGTCCGTCCCCCAGTAACAATTCTGTGTCCGTCCCCCAGTAACAATTCTGTGTCCGTCCCCCAGTAACAATTCTGTGTCCGTCCCCCAGTAACAATTCTGTGTCCGTCCCCCAGTAACAATTCTGTGTCCGTCCCCCAGTAACAATTCTGTGTCCGTCCCCCAGTAACAATTCTGTGTCCGTCCCCCAGTAACAATTCTGTGTCCGTCCCCCAGTAACAATTCTGTGTCCGTCCCCCAGTAACAATTCTGTGTCCGTCCCCCAGTAACAATTCTGTGTCCGTGTGTCCGTCCCCCAGTAACAATTCTGTGTCCGTCCCCCAGTAACAATTCTGTGTCCGTCCCCCAGTAACAATTCTGTGTCCGTCCCCCAGTAACAATTCTGTGTCCGTCCCCCGTCCCCCAGTAACAGTAGTAACAATTCTGTGTCCGTCCCCCAGTAACAATTCTGTGTCCCCCCCAGTAACAATTCTGTGTCCGTCCCCCAGTAACAATTCTGTGTCCGTCCCCCAGTAACAATTCTGTGTCCGTCCCCCAGTAACAATTCTGTGTCCGTCCCCCAGTAACAATTCTGTGTCCGTCCCCCAGTAACAATTCTGTGTCCGTCCCCCAGTAACAATTCTGTGTCCGTAGTAACAATTCTGTGTCCGTCCCCCAGTAACAATTCTGTGTCCGTCCCCCAGTAACAATTCTGTGTCCGTCCCCCAGTAACAATTCTGTGTCCGTCCCCCAGTAACAATTCTGTGTCCGTCCCCCAGTAACAATTCTGTGTCCGTCCCCCAGTAACAATTCTGTGTCCGTCCCCCAGTGTCCGTCCCCCAGTAACAATTCTGTGTCCGTCCCCCAGTAACAATTCTGTGTCCGTCCCCCAGTAACAATTCTGTGTCCGTCCCCCAGTAACAATTCTGTGTCCGTCCCCCAGTAACCCCCGTCCCCCAGTAACAATTCTGTGTCCGTCCCCCAGTAACAATTCTGTGTCCGTCCCCCAGTAACCCCCGTCCCCCAGTAACAATTCTGTGTCCGTCCCCCAGTAACACAATTCTGTGTCCGTCCCCCAGTAACAATTCTGTGTCCGTCCCCCAGTAACAATTCTGTGTCCGTCCCCCAGTAACAATTCTGTGTCCGTCCCCCAGTAACAATTCTGTGTCCGTCCCCCCCCAGTAACAATTCTGTGTCCGTCCCCCAGTAACAATTCTGTGTCCGTCCCCCAGTAACAATTCTGTCCCCCCAGTAACAATTCTGCGTCCGTCCCCCAGTAACAATTCTGCGTCCGTCCCCCAGTAACAATTCTGCGTCCGTCCCCCCCAGTAACAATTCTGCGTCCGTCCCCCAGTAACAATTCTGTGTCCGTCCAATTCTGTGTCCGTCCCCCAGTAACAATTCTGTGTCCCTCAGTAACAATTCTGTGTCCCTCAGTAACGATTCTGTGTCTGTCCCTGATTAACGATTCTGTGTCCCTGAGTAACGATTCTGTGTCCCTGAGTAACGATTCTGTGTCCCTGTAACGAGTCCCTGAAACGATTTCTGTGTCCCTGAGTAACGATTCTGTGTCCCTGAGTAACGATTCTGTGTCCCTAAGTAACGATTCTGTGGCCCTAAAGTCTCTCTGGCCCTAACTCTGTCCCTAATACAGACAGGTCTGTCTCTCTTGAATGACCGCAGGCTAATGGAGAATTGTAAGATGGCCGCAATTTATAGCTCCACCATTACACAGTGCTGGCTGGCTGGCTGGCTGCTGATTGGCTAATGCGATCACATGTCATGAATGAATGCATTATGGGTCAGCGCACCTTGTCTGCGCGCCTTCCCAGAGATCCCCGCTCCGTCGCCACACATGTCGCCGCCATTTTTGGGAAAATTCGATTCGTGCATCCGAAGTTGGCTAATTTTCGGATTTGGCGCGAATCGAATATTTCCCAATATTCTAAACGAATTCCACTTCGCCATGTTCGATTCGCTCATCTCTAGTTGTGATGATAGAGAATAGGAATCATTAAAAGATAAACTAATTTGTCAGACACATGTCAATGAAGCCTTTAGAGGACAGAAACAATCTATTGTATCCCATCAATCACCCAACTGTAGAAGTACAAATGGAACCCACAGGCAAACTATATTGGAGCCTTACCCATGCAGTGCCCACTAGTAGAAGAAATGCATATTTCTCATTTGAGAAGTACAGTTTACTTAAACTGTATTCCAGGATTTGCTTGTCTTCAGCTGAGAGCTTGTAATAATTTAAAAAGGATAAAGTTCACCTTTTAGGCAGAAAACAATAAATGCACATTTTTTTGCACGTAAAAAAATGTGCATTATTTTTATCTACAGGAGCCTGGAAAGCATTGCACCAGCGATCGGTAGATCACTGATCCCATGCAGGTCTCCTGCAGACCTGTCAGAAATCTGCTTGCCATACGGGATGTAGATATTCGGACAGGAAGCTTCAATGAACTACCACGGTGCTCCACAGTGCTATGGTAGTTCATTGAAAACTACAAGCTGACAGCCGCTAAGGCTGTCGGGACTTCCACTTCATTCATTCACGGAAGTATGTGAACGAATGATGCGGCCCGCACAGTTTTCAAATTTGACAGATAGTACGGGGAGAAGTCTCCCCGTACTGTCAGAGGGGCGGCAGCTATGGGAACATGTTACATGTTCCACCTTAAAAACGGATGGAACATGTAACATGTTCCCAAAGGTGAATAAATCCCCTTTAAGAAATTACATATAGTGTAGTGAAGTCTTTCATGAAGGTCATGTTATATAGTTTGAATAGCATGTCAGATGTATTTTTTATCATTGTAAAATAACATTCCACAATTTGTGTATTTATGGAAAAACTGCAAAAACAAAAAAACTTTTGTTTCTTTTTTCCAGGCCTATCCATCTCTACTCCTGATATGTTTAAAAGATTTATGAATCTTCTGGCATTTAGAACTCACACACCAATATTGTATACACCCTTAGAGTGAATCCACTATAAAACAGAATCACCAAACAGTTTAACATCTTGAATTAAACTCTGTCTAGTACTGACAAACGTCAGACAGGGTAGAGAAGTACTAAAAAAGCAATTGAGGCCCGATTTTTTTGTCATAACTTTTTTGTTAAACCAATTACCCCAAGGCCACACAAAAGTATAACATTTATAAAATTTCTTTCAGAATTAAGAAACCTCCCCCCACAACTCACCTTTCCACACAAGTAAATGATATTTGTGTCTGGATCATAGAAAGGTAGCAAGACGCCGTTGCTAGTGTCCATTTCATGTAGTGCAATAGGCTCATCTATACTTTTCTGTAAACAATAAGGCCATATATTAACAGTGCATTTACAATACAGATATAGTCTAGTTCTACTGTACATACTTTAACACTTGTAAAGTTTAGCATTTTACAAAACAAATCAGGAAAGTTATAACAAAACTATTTAAAGGTGGTCACAAAGGAAAACAATGTTCAATCTAGCTTGGTTCATTTAAAGGTGAACTGCAGGTGAACAGCTAAGTATATAGTTGGAAATACATAAAATAAGGGTGTCTTTCACCTCCTGTGCAATCTCTTTTCATTCTAACCCACCCAGAGAAACATTACAAAACCAGAATTTTTTACATACTGGATTCCACAGTGCTAGCTGGCGCTCACTCATTCGACTGAATCCTGTTGTAAAAACACTGTCATCAGCTAAAAAGATCGCTCTCATGGGTCGAGCTCCTTCGTGAGCTTTATCCTTCTCCTATAATACAATAAAAAGGGATATTGAGACTTTAGAGTATCAGATGAAAAAGAATGACAGAAGAAAAAAAAAAAAAATCTCCAGTCTTAAGGCCTCATGTACACGAACTAAAAAATGCTGCTTATACAGTTATTGTGGTTTTTGTTTTCCTCTTTCAACCTGTAGAAGCAACTCTGTTAGCCTATGTGTCCATGCACATTTTGGTGTTTACAGGTATATTTGCAAAGGGCTGGGAAAAAAAAAAAAAAAAAAAAAAAAAAAACAAACCATACAAAAAAAAAAAAAACCATACAAAAAAACCCCCCAAAAAAAAAAACAAACCATTGCAAGTTCATTTTTGAGAGGAGCTTTTGTGCAGGAAAAACATTTGATGCACCTAAACGGGTGTTTAGGTGCATCAAGCGTATTTAAGTAAATGTGTTTTTAGTGTTTTGGGGAAAAACGCATGTAAGCGCAAATGCGCATAAATGTGTCTAAACGAGTGTGTACACTTTGTTCCATAGGACTGTTTTTTCTGCTAGCAGTTGACATTTTTATCTGCTGCCTTGTGTACATGGGCCCTTATACTGTGTTTAAATTCTAGTCTGCATTAGAAGACAAAATGGCATTCTTTCATATACATACAATTCAGCAATAGTCTCAAAAAGTCACAAACCTAGCAACATGGAGATCTTCCAGACATACAATCATACTTCAATCCAATCATTTATAACTGCATCAGATGAAGCATCTTCCTATGAAGGGATTTTCAGTCTCCACCTCAAAGTTCAGATACCAGACCTGGCACTGTAATGCATCTGGGCAAAATAATTTTTTGTATACGTTCTTAGTTATTGCCAAGAACACATATGGCATGTATGTAGCAAGGCCAAGCAACAAGATGGACATAAAACTGAGCTGCATTGGATGTGCAGTGAGGACTCACTGTTGGGCCCTGAAACACCACAACAGAATCCTGATCAAGTCCACTAAGATGCAGACCCCATGGTTGTCATCCTTATTGTTATTTTAGGTGTACACATTGTACCTGCCTATAAATCTGCTTCTATATAATGACATTTAAAATAAAAACATTTTGCAGATAATTCCAAGTACAAAATTTCCAGGCTGAATCATCAATATAAAAAAAAAAAAACATTTACTACACACCGCTACCAGCTCCATTTTGCGTGGGTCAATTACACGCAGTTTCTTATCTTTGGAGGCAGTACAAATGAGGCTGCCATTGCGGTTCCAGCAGGCACTATAGATCATATCATTGTGCATTTCATCGATCGTTATTACAGCCTCCGATGTGCTCACGTTCCAGATGATGACGACGTTATCACACCCTAATAAAAACAAAGATCAAATTATCACTGGCTACTCATGAGAAGTGTTCGGAAGAACACAAAACTCTTGTCCAACTAAAATGCAGAATGTTTTGCAGCTGCTGCAATTATAAAATACTATTTTACCCCCCTTCTGTGCAAAGGAGATTATCCAACTTTCAGGGCAGGACCTACACCCTTACATCTGCTTGTTCTTCATGCTGACAGCATTGGCTGCATGCAACTGAATAACTAAAGCTCTGTTTGAATCAGGTTTTCCTTGTTTAAAGGTATTTGACTATGTACACATTAAAATAGTTATCTGAAAATTAGTGCCCCCGGTTTGTTCTTATGTAGATCACCCAAAGCCTTTACATGGACACATGTACATATTAAGATACCTGCACTGAGTAACACGTTGCTGGCTGTAGGGTGCCATGTCACAATACCAACCCTCTTGGAATGCCCCTCCAACACTACTGCAGGTTCTGTAAGTGGAGCAGTTAAGCCATTCTCCGGGATCTGCCAAACCTGGGTAAACACAAAATGTATTTAGTATTCAATGGTTGGAAACAACTTCACACAATAAAGCTGCAAAAAAACTAAAGGCCAACAAAAAAAAAAAAAAAATCAAAAAGGCAATTCTTTCTTAATTACTAAAAACTAGTCATACACTTTTAAAATTTCTAAACCGCAATGATGGCCATGTTGCACATTTGATGGTCCTGCCCTCAGATCTTGACCTTTTGGGTGCAAATATTTACAATATATTAACAAGATGACAGGCCAGGTCTTTCAATCACACCAGAAATCAAACTCCTCTCCCAACTCCCGGGCCCCATATCTGCTGCCAATAAGGGTATTTTACTCTTCTTTCTGTTGGAAACCACAACTGAGACACCAAAATACTGGGGGCCTGCCCTCATGCCTATTTTTAAGTAATGGGACTTTGAAATCATTCAATAACACAACACATGGAGGGATGAAGGCCTTCTTAACATGGAAAATTTGACTAGATGACCACTTGATAGTGTCCATTGCATTTATGAGCTCTGACCAATTTAGTAAACCTCTAACACTGCCACCCACTACTCTATGACTGGGAAGGGAGAGACACTCCTTCTCAACGGTTACTCCGCCCCACCTTTCCCTAGTCTACCTTTCCCACCCCACCCCTTTTCCTCCTTTTGCAGCACTTGTCTTCTTGATCCTAAGGATGACATTTCCACCCACTCCCCCTATTCTTGCACAAGCTAATACCCTCACAAATGTAGACCCTCCTAGCTAGATTTAGCTCCAAGAAGTGTGCTGAATGATATACTCCATTGGGATTTATGATCACTTGTTTTTTCATGACATGCCTAACCCTCTGCATCCTATCTGTAAAAAAAAAAGAAAAAGAAAAGCTAATTAAACTATTTAAAAAAAAAAAAAAAAAACAAAAACGCATGGATGGCTATTATGTTAAGGCAGCTGAAGCACCTGCAGCTGCCTGAATACCCAAACAGTGACAGTATCTCATGGGATGCAGTCACTGTTCAGTTGAGAATTTTCCACCTCAGTCCATTTTTAAACCAATTTTTGTTGAGCTGCGCGTTGCTGACACGGCCCCCTACTACTGAAATTTAAGCCAATTGAGCAGGAATAAACTTTAACTGTGCATGACTAGCTTCACTACAAACACACAAGCTTTTACAAAAATGTGTGTATAACACAGCCATTAATGTCTAAACTGCTGGCAACAAAAGTGAGTACACCCCTAAGTAAACAATGTCCAAATTGGGCCCAATTAGCAATTTTCTCTCCCTGGTATCATGTGACTCGTTAGTATTACAAGGTCTCAAGTGTGAACGTGGAGCAGATGTGTTAAATTTGGGGTTATCGCTCTCAATCTCTCATACTGGTCACAGAGTTCTTTGCCATGAGTTGCCACGTTGAACTTCCAGAGGATCTGAAAAAAAGAATTGTTGCTCTATATAAAGATGGTCTAGTCTATAAGATTGCCAAGACCCTGAAATGGAGCAGCAGAATGGTGGCCAAGACCATACAGCAGTTTAACAGGACAGGTTCCACTCAGAACAGGTCTAGCCATGGTCGACCAAAGACGTTGCGCGCACGTGCTTAGCATCATATCCAGAGGTTGTCTTTGGGAAATAGACGTATGAGTGCTGCCAGCATTACTGCAGAGGTTGAAGGGGTGGGGGGTCAGCCTGTCAGTGCTCAGACCATACTCCTCACACTGCATCAAATTGGTCTGCATGGCTGTCATCCCAGAAGGAAGCCTCTTCTAAAGATGATGCCCAAGAAAGCCTGCAAACAGTTTTCTGAAGACAAGCAGACTAAGGACATGGATTACTGGAACCTGTGGTCTGATGAGACCAAGATAAACTTATTTGGTTCAGATGATGTCAAGCGTGTGTGGCGACAACCAGGTGAGGAGTAAAGACAAGAGTGTCTTGCCTACAGTCAAGCATGGTGGTGGGAGTATCATGGTCTGGGGCTGCATGAGTGCTGCCAGGACTAGGGAGCTACAATTCAATGAGGGAACCATGAATGCCAACATGTACTGTGACATACTGAAGCAGTGCATGATCCCCTCCCTTCAGAGACTGGGCCGCAGAGCAGTATTCCAACATGATAACGACCCCAAACACACCTCCAAGACGACCACTACCTTGCTAAAGAAGCTGAGGGTAAAGGTGATTGACTGACCAAGCATGTCTCCAGACCTAAACCCTTTTGAACATCTGTGGGGTATCCTCAAACGGAAGGTGGAAGAACGCAAGGTCTCTAACATTCACCAGTGGAAGAGGACTCCAGTGGCAACATATGAAACTCTGGTGAACGCCATGCCCAAGAGGGTTAAGGCAGTGCTGGAAAATAATGGTGTAAACACAAAATATTGATACTTTGGGCCCAATTTGGACATTTTCACTTAGGGGTGTACTCACTTTTCATGCCAGCGGTTTAGACATTAATGGCTGTGTTGAGTTATTTTGAGGGGACATCAAATTTACACTGTTATACAAGCTGTACACTACTTTACATTGTAGCAAAGTGTAATTTCTTCACTGTTGTCAAATGAAAAGATAGAATAAAATATTTACAAAAATGTGAGGGGTGTACTTCTGTGAGATAGTGTGCGAGTTAGTATATATACACACACACACATATCTATATATATCTATATATATCTATATATATATATATATACACACAAAAGCTATTAACTTATCTGCATTTGACGGTTCTGGGAGAATAAGATGCCTACATCTTTTGTTGTGAGGTTTCATCTGCCTGAACCATGTCACTACAGGGTACAGTTGTGGCATAAGGGTAGGCAGAAGACATGTCAGTGCAAAGTTGAAAACACATCAGGAAGCATGAGGAGTCTTCAGAAAAACTTATCTTAAATGCAATGGAGTTCAGTGGACCAGGAGACAGGAGAGGTAAATATTAATGCTTTGATTTGCACGTAGAGTTTTCTTGATTTTTTTATTTTTGGTAAAAGTTTAGTTTATGAGTTGCTTTGAGTCCGTTTAGATCTAAAACTATTATTTTTACTTGTTTGAAAGAATATGGCTCTTAATCAATATACCAAGACTAAATGGGCCAACTACAAAATGTACCACAACTAGAAATTATATCACAATATGACTGTTAAAGATGAGAAGCATAAATCGGTTCTTTACCAAGATGCTGCAGTCTTCAGAGCCACTAGCAATAACATTGTCATTATGTGGACACCAGTCAATGTCCAGCACTGGTCCTGTGTGGCCACAAACAGTTGGGTAAGACTTGTCAATCCTTCCAGTCTGAAAATAGAAAAAAAAAAAGCCATGAGGTAAACAAAACAAAAAAAAAGTAGGAAAACAAAGTGACCAGGCTATATGCCTAACAATATTACAGATATTGAAGTATGAAAATGCAGTGTTACATTACAAGCAAACACTTAATTAGCCCTATCATTTACCCATCAAAAATCAGTAAAAACTCATTAACAGAAAGACAAACATACAATAGGAGTTGATCATGTTAAATGCAATTCTTTTAAATGACCACTAGTTGGCAACCTACAATAGCAGTTGTGACATGGGTTAACCAATGGCTAATAGCTCATTCTGTAATTATGAAAAAAAACAAAATCCTTATTAGAAGTCGAGTTTTTGAAACCGCCACAAATAATAATTTCTCCTGTGTCAACCTTTATATTGAAAAAAATTTAAATTATAAAAAAAAAAAAAAAAAAGATAAATGGTAAAATCAAGGGAACAGGTAACAAAACTAAACCTAGCTAACTATATAAACTACAACAATGATTTTCTCATTGTTCCCCATTTAGATCTAAAATGGACAATAGAAAATTCAACTCTCATGTTAAAGATGGGGAGGTGTTCAGTAGTCCTAACATACTTCCTGTCCAAGGGTGACAGCATTGCTCCTCCACAAATGCAGTATAGCGCGTGATGTTACTGTATGTCAGAAAGCATGTTACGTGCAGTATCTCAAGGTTATGGGGGGAAAGAAAAAAAAAAGGAAGACGGAGGGTTTTGGGGACGACCTTTTGGACCCTTCCCATTGAAGAATATGTTATATGCAATGTGTGAAATTTGTATTCTGGAGTTTAGATACATTTTAACCTAAAAATATCCTGTTTAGTGTAGCCAGTGTTTGATAAATGTGGGTAACTAAGATACCATTGTTTTCTGAAAGCCTATCCAAAAAAGGAAGAAAATAGCCTCCTAACACATCATGCCTATGAATAGGAGCACAGCTGTCTTTAACAGCCAAGAAAACCGAGGAGCATGGTCTCAAAATCCTGTAGATTAGAACTTCAAAATTAAAATATAGTTTGGTTACTGTTAATGCACTGCAAAGAATTCTACTAAATTCATATCAAAGATCTAAATGTTTCTCTAGACACTTGGACAGCAATTCTGGAGGCGTGCTGGTACATGCAGTGAGGGATAGATCATTACATTTTATTCATAGCAGCACATGAAAGAACAAGTCTGGTCAAATGCAGCCAGTGAGGGAGAGATAAGTGAAGTCATGTAATTAGAGCATCTCATTGCAAAAGATCATCCTATTTAAAATAAGTGGTAATTCCGCTCTTAAACATCAAAGAAGACAACATGAATGATAAAAGTTTCTTTGTAAGCTTTTTTTTTTTTGTTAAAGTATGTGAACTTTTTTCTTTAGAGCATAGGGAAGTATTAACACCTCTGTCCGTTTTTTTTTTTTTTTATGCTGTCTGAGAGGGTAAAGCCGGCCATATACTAGTAGAATGTCTTTCAAAAATTCTGGATTGGGTATGGTTTCTGTTTGGAAGACCATTTAAAAATTGAATCTTAAAAAGCAGATACATTTTTTTCACAACATCCATGAAGTCACATGCACTGATCAGTATTATCACATGAATGTGCATTCAGAAATGTACTAGTGAGTGGCAATCTTAGAGATTATAAAGCCTTTTTTTTTTTTTTTTTTTTACACACACAATTTAAATAATTGACAACTGATGTATTTACTTGAGGACGCAGCTTCTTCATCTTTAAACCTTGCCTATGTTCCACTTGTAGCTAGCATCATGAACGCTGCTCTGGGTTTCCTGTTTCAGGATGGCTTTTTTCTCTTGCAGCATCCTATTGAGCCACCCTTGCATACAAGAACCACAGTTGGCTCCCTACACTGTGTGCATAAATAGAAACACACAGCCCCATAGCCTAGGATAGCAAGGTACTCCCCCCTGCTCCTGACTCCCTTCTCAAAACTCAGACTGACTCCAGACTGCACTTTCCACTGTTAACACTTCCCTGTGTAGACTAGAAGTTCAGGAAAGCAGCACAGGGAGCAGGAGAAAGCAGCACAGGGAGCAGGAGAAAGCAGCACAGGGAGCAGGAGAAAGCAGCACAGGGAGCAGGAGAAAGCAGCACAGGGAGCAGGAGAAAGCAGCACAGGGAGCAGGAGAAAGCAGCACAGGGAGCAGGAGAAAGCAGCACAGGGAGCAGGAGAAAGCAGCACAGGGAGCAGGAGAAAGCAGCACAGGGAGCAGGAGAAAGCAGCACAGGGAGCAGGAGAAAGCAGCACAGGGAGCAGGAGAAAGCAGCACAGGGAGCAGGAGAAAGCAGCACAGGGAGCAGGAGAAAGCAGCACAGGGAGCAGGAGAAAGCAGCACAGGGAGCAGGAGAAAGCAGCACAGGGAGCAGGAGAAAGCAGCACAGGGAGCAGGAGAAAGCAGCACAGGGAGCAGGAGAAAGCAGCACAGGGAGCAGGAGAAAGCATTTAAAGTTGTCAAATGCAAGTGCTTCGGTAGGTATTTCAAAATTTATGTACCAAGGTTTGTTTATTTTATTGTGCTCAATGTATTAGGCTGAAAACGCTGAGGGTTTTAAGTGGTCGTAAACGCTCAAGGTTTTTAACCTTCATGCATTTTATGAAAAAAAAAAGATACAAAAAAATCCATTCTGCTGTGTGCCCCCCCAAATACCTGAGCCCCATCACGATCCAGCGATGTGAATAACAGCTTTGGCTCTCTAGGGACTCTCCCTCCTCATTGGGTGAGACACTGTCCATTACAGCCAATGAACCAATGAGGAAAAAGGGGAGGGGCAGGGCCAAGCCATGGCTGTGTGAGAATGGACATGCAGGGCAGCAACTCCAGAGTGAGTCTGCTTGGGTGCCCCCATAACAAGCTGCTTGCTCTGGAACACTAGACAGGAGCCAGGAACGCCAGAAGCAGAACGAGAAGAGGAGAATCGGGGCTGCTCTGTGCAAAAGCAGACGACCCAGCATGCATGGTGACGTCATGTCCAAGCTCTGCCCTGTTTAGTCATCTGATGCCCTCCAGGGGTGGAAGCATTGGGGCTTGGATGTGATGTCAACACACATTCCAAGTTGTCTGCTTGCAGCTACAGTCTTCAGATGGAGTGAGCCCCAGTTCTATGTTTAAGTTGTGACACTTGTGTCAGTGGAGACACACAGAAACATGTGTAATAATTTTGCTACTTTGACAAGGAGCATTTGGAGCACACAAAAGAGATTTAGTTCCTTTGTGAAAATTGAGGAATATGCTTAAAGTGGTTGTACAGGTAAAATTAGAAAAAAAAAAAAAAACACAACATGTCTATACTTGCCTGCTCTGTGCAACCCAATTGCACAGAGAAGCACTGATGGTTCCCCAGCGACCCTAGCTCCTCCTCCTCTGTTCACTGCACCTAATAGGAAGCAGATTCCCATGGAGGCACTTGTGCGGGCTTGCTCATAAGTCCAGCTGCTGTGTCCATTGACACAGAGGGACTCAGCCCACTCGCTCTGTCGTCACTGAAGTTGCTTGACAGGACAGTCAATGACTCCTGCTGCCATCGATCTGTCCAGGGAAGAGGAACAAAGTCAGCAGAGCCGTAGCTCTTGTGCACAGCACTAGATCATGATGGTGCTCAAGGATAAGAGGAGGAGGAGGAGGAGGGGCAGCGGCGGCGGCAGCAGCCCCCCCCCCCCCTGTGTTTTGCAAGAGAAATCACATTGATTCGCGCACCTGCAGCCAGGGCTAGTGTGAACCTAGCCTAAATACCCGAGTCTTCACTTGATCCAGCTCTGTGCCCATCTACAGCAGCTCTCTCCGCTCACATAGGACAGAGAGGCAGAGCCATTGGCTTCTGCTGCTGTCAATCAAATCCTGAGCGCAGAGAGTAGGGGGCGGGTATGTCAGCAACACACAAGCTTTGTAGTACTTCTGAGATATGCAATGAACAAAACAAAACCATCAACATTACTATAGAAAATTAGAAAACAATATATTTATCTTATAAAAATAGATTTTTTTTTTGCATTGATGGTTCGTAAAAGAACACTTAAAGCTACGCAATGCTAGAAATATGTGGAAATGGCAACAAACCTATTTGTTTTTCATTCAGCATAAAAAGTAAACAATCACTTGAAGTATTCTTTATGTGATTGCTAAAGCAGCCCAATAGTGTTCCGCAAGGTTCCCCCGAGCACAGGATTTTCCTGGCAAAAATGCTGTTTATTCCAAAATCTGTGCCTGCATTTTAAGTACTTGTTCTGGAGCCTGTTATTGTAGCTTGGAAACTTGCTTGGCATGTAACATGTGTTGCGCAGCTTGTATTATGCAAACGTCACCCACACATCCTTATCACAAAAAACCTCCATGTGCTGCAGGTAGGGACATGGACTGCTGACGGTTTGCATGGGACCCAGCAGATGTCCAACCAAAGAGAAATGCTAAAGAAGACAAAAATATTTTTAACAATGCAACATGTAGAGATGAAGAATTTTACATTTGCTCAAAATCAAAGCCTAATCATCATCTGATTACCCAGTTGCTCATATGCGGCATAACTGAGGTTCCTTACCTCAAGGGACAAATTTATTTTCCCAGGAGTGACAATAAGCTAAATCCTAAACACAAACACAATGTAGTTTTAAAGCTAATTTTCTAAGTTTTTAAAATACAGCACAAAGGATGTTACATTTAATCTGAAGCACCCCTTATGCTGGAAATAGTTGAAATCCAAAATCCTCCTGTCCCCCTTTCCATTCCCCACAGCTGTGGTCTTCTGGTGCTGCAGGGGGTTAATACCAGCACTGGACTTGTGTTATGCACTCAAGACTGCCAACAACGTCCGCCCTTTCCGCCCCCTTCCATCATTCATAAAAGCCATACTGTAGCTTTAATGATTGACAAGTGAATAAATGGAGGAAGCAAACCTTTCGTTAATCTTCCCATACTTCATTCATAGATCGCCTTTCATTCATAGAAGCTACAGTACAACTTAAGATAAACAGTGCTTTT